TAGGTTTTGCAACATATTTTCGAGGGATGAGTATCTTACTTTTCATCACTAATAAAATTTCATGTTGAATTTTACAAAACACATAATGGGATTTACAACTTTTATAGTGAAAGTGACCACTTCTTTAATGGGTTTTGTAAACCTATTTTCATCGGAAGGGCAACTTGTAAGCATAAATAAATCATTCAGTAAACGTGCCCCTGAAGTACATCATAATAAACATTGAACTATTAACTTTCATAATTAACTACATGTATAATAAAATCTACCATTCACGTACTGGGATTTACCAAAAACCAACAAGCATATGATAACAGTTACATTACGTAATTGCTTGCCACTATTTTCTGATTTCTGCTTCATCATTCACTAAATACTGAATATGAACCCTCAAATGCAATAATCTTGTTCCTATTTCACTATGAAAAGCAACAAAAATGAATAATCTAAATCCCACCATCAACTTCTACTCACTCATGAATAATCCAAATACTTCAGTGACCTCTTCGGCGGCAACAATCTCAGGGAGTACGAGTTATTTCAGATAGGGCAATTTATTTCAGCGATGGTAACCAAATTTAGCGACGGCAATCTACTCCTACGACAGCGGCAACGGGATTTTGAAGAACCCTTTTTGGTGACTACAGGAACTTGGACTTAGTTTCGTCGAAGGAAATCAGTTTCTCCCTTTCTCTATCGCATGGATACACTGCTCAGTGTTCAAAGACAATCAGGGCAATTCAGTAATTAGGCCAAAAATCTAAATTCCAAATTGGTATCCAATACCCTATTTGTCATTTTGCTTATTCAGATGCCTTATTTGTCTTTTTAAAATTCACATGGTATTTTGTTGTCATCTTTCCTTTTTTTGTGATTTTTCATAGAGAAGATTAAGGCATCTACTATATTACAGGAAGGTGGCGCTATGCATTCTTATTCTGTTTTCCCCCATTTGATTTTTTCTTTCTTTTTTTTGGTGATTTTGTAGAGAGAAGATTAAGGCATCTATTAATTGTCAACATAAGCTTTATTTTAATCTAATATTTCATTGGCAAAAAAATTAATCTAATATTTATGATCTTTGTTAAGTTTATAATTAATTTTTTATTTGATGATGTTCAGTGACCTCACGTATAAACTTCATAGAAATTTTTATATTGAGTATGTTAATCTATGGGGGTCGGTGGATTTAATTTCAATAATTTCAAGGGTGAAAGTATATCTAGCATCATAAAGTGTTTTTTTAGGTGGATCCAGTATTTTAAGTATTATATATTGCATCCGGCACTTTAAAATACTTTTTTATATGCATATAGGACGCTAAAATATTTTTTAGTATAATTTTACACTAACCAATTTGAGATGCTAGATTCATTAAAAAATAATTTAGGATAATGGATGTAACTAAAAAAATATTTTAAGGTGCTAAATATATTAAAATATAATTTAAGGTACAAGACACATCTAACAAAAAATATTTTAGAATTTTGAATGCATCACAAAATACTTAAGAATACTGTATGCACTTTATAATCTTAATAGCAATTTACTAATAGTAATAAACTATTATAATTATATCTAATTCAAAATTGAGATAACCTATAAAGTCATGTGCATTAATTTTTTTTTTGTTGATAATTATAGGTTATTTGGAAATGAACAAGCTGAACCCCCATTTTGTTCAGGCCAACAAGAAATAATAAATAAAATAAATAAATAATAATTAAAAAAAGTATTCTTGATTCTTTCTTTGAGGCCAAGTTTGAAAGGTCCACCACGTAGTAAATAAAAAAGAAAAATTAAAAAAATTCTCCCCATAATAAATGGTAATAAAGTAAAAGGTGAGTTTAAATGTTGATTGGCTCTTGTTTAGGAAATAGAATGTGGAGTCATTAGACAAAAATTCATATAAGAAATAGAAAAAATCTCTCATGTAACATGATTGGCTCCCAATTTGAAATATCTTTTAGAGTCATAATTGTGAAAAAAATAAAATAAAATAAAAAATCATAATTAATGATAACTTACTACCTACAAATAGCCTACAAATAGGAGAGAAAAAAAATTAAAGGAAAAGAAGCAAAATCTTTATAAGAAAAAATGAGGTAAGGTAGTAAATTTTTCTATCATTTTTTTTAATACCAGTAGGGGTTTAGCAATGGTAGAGGTAGGGGTGTTCAATTTGTCCTGTCCCGTCCCGGTCCCAATGAGTTCAGGACGAAATAGAACAGGACAAAAAAAATTTCATGACGGGACGGGATGGGAACAGTGACCGAGACTGGACGGGACATGGGACGGGGTTGTTCCATCCCGTCCAGTCTCAGGCTATTTTTTTAAAAAAAATTATTTATTAATAATTATTATTAGATTATTTAATTTACTTATTAACAATAATTATTATTTTTATAGTGATTTTTAGCTCTTAAATTGTAGTACTCCTCCGGTCCTAATTATAAGACCCAATTGACTTATTTGAGAAGATTAAGGAAGTAAGTTAAGTTGGTTATTTATAATAAATAAGTGTTGTCATTCCTAAAATATCCTTGCTAATTAAGTATATTGGCTAAAACTATCATTATTAGAAGGATTATCTTGGAAAAAAATGTATAAATATAAGAGAAAAAATGGATTATGGTCTTATAATTAGGACCAAATAAAAAGTCAAATGGGGTCTTATAATAAGGATCGGAGGAGTATTATCTTAACAAAATCTCATTCCTCAATAAAATAATTCATAAAGACATAATATAGTGTTTTTTTCCTATATTTTTTTATAGTATTATTTTTACATCTTTTTTATATTATATAATTGGGCTTTCTACATAATATTTTTTATGATGTTTTTATCTTTAAACACTCAATAAAAAATAAACATTATAATATTAAAAAATTTATACGAAAAATTATATTATTTAAAAAAAAAAAAAAGGACGGGACAGGACGGGACATGGGGATAAAATTTCTATCCCGTCCTATCCCGTGAACATAGAGGTGACTAAAACAAAGTGAAGTTCATTGCTTATCTTTTTTTTACTCCCACGGAAAGCCTATGTCTTTATAGTGGTTGTCATACATGTGGGCCTTAACGCCAATGGCTAGAGGGTCTACTCCAATTGACCTATTCTTATCACCTATGTCTTGCCGGATTTCTTCACTATCCAACCAACATTAAAAAAGCAACCCAACATCTGAGCAATCGTCCGCCGTCGTGCTCCGACTCCGTCACCCCCGGCAGCGTCTTCATCCTCTACTTCTTCACCGAAAAGCGAAAATAATATTTGAATTGTGGTTAACATTCATCTTGATCGGAGACCCTTTCTTCTCTAGTCTGGTAGATTCTCAACAGATCTCGATTTCCACGGAAAACCCATCACCATTCGCGTTTGTTCTGTAGATCTTTGGGGAAAATTTTCAAGAAAGATTGTGCTTCTGAGCCTCCTCTTGTATCTGTTTTTTTTTTTTAAGGGTATCTGGTAACAATCAGATAACAAAATAAAAAGATCATGACCAGTTCAACTAGAAAACTAGTGAACTAACTAGTTTAAACCCGAAGGAGTTGAACCGGAAGCAAACCAGTCAAACCAGTAAAAACTGATAATGAATTGGTCTGGATAATTATGTTGTTATTGGTCTTAATTTTTTTTCATTCAGCTCCTAGTATCTCAGCTCCTATAGATTTAAATGAATTTAATGATAATTTTGGTATCAATGATTATTAATTTGAGTTAATGATGAACCATAAATATCAAAATTTCCAATATTGTTATGCTTTATTATTATTATAATAATAAAACTATTGCTATATTTTTTTATATTTTATTATTAGTGATTATTAACGTTGTTATATTTTGTTATTTTTAATTAAATTATACTATTTTAATATAACCGATTTGACTTTGAGTTGATCCCAACTAACTAATCTTTGAACCACTATCCCAATCAATTTGGTATCCGATCTGCTTTCTTGTTCTTTGGTAACAATAACTAATCCCCTCTAAATACTTAAAGAACACAGGTAAGCGCTAATTGTGCCAGGCCCCATGATTGTTCTTGTATCTGCTTTGAATTTGATCAAATGTGATGAAAGTGTGGTAAGGAAAATTGCCGGCAAAGTCCTTGGACGCAAAGAAAATCACTGTAGCTTCCACAAAATCTATTGGGCTGGGATACAATCCCACACCAATGATCTCAAGCTCAAATCCCGCCAGAGAAATTCTCCAGACCCAAGATTAATTATAACTACTACATAAATTCTCCCGCATGGGTTGCCTTTTTAACTTCGGGCTGGGCGGTGAAGAAATCCGGCAAGGTTCTACTTTCTATCACACCTAAGCGCTGATTTGGAAGACATATTTGCAGTTTTCAATGTGTTAAGGTAATTTTTTTTAACCTGTAGGATAATTATTTAATGAGTCAAAATAAATTATATATGATAAGGACCACATTATTAAATATGAAAAGATTAGAGGTTAAGTTACAAGAAAGTCAAAAGCATAAAAACTAAATTACAACGAGACATAGTTGATGGATTCAGTTGCGAGTGAGTTAGGTGCTGCGTAGCTAATTAAAAAGAATTAACGGCATAGGAAATTAAATTGAGAACAAAACTTGATATTTAAGCTTCGTGTGCTCCATTTTCCCTACAAATCAACCATAAAAAAATATCTTCATAAAATGTTAGCAAGGCATCTAAAAGGAAAACAACGAAACAAGCTTATACACTTGAGGAGATAGAATGAATAAGAGCCATTAACAGAAATTAACATGAATTAGCATTAATCAAATATTTCAACTCAAGCCTGCTGAAAATACAGGGAACCAAAAAAATCAGACACGCATGAACTAAACCCTGCCTCCAAAATATTTTTCCTGTTTTCCCTACAGGGGAAAGGAGAAAGAGGTTTAGCAGTCCAAACAACTATGATACTCAAGGGCTTATCTCATGTTTTGACTAATGATAGATCAAATGAGCATATAAAACTTGGAAAAAAAAAATTAACTAATACAAGATCAAACAACTACCATGGAATAGTCATGCGCAGGAGAACCATGGAGTGTAAGAATACAACTGGTAACCGGCTGATATAATTTTTGAGTTCATCACAGAACCATTTAAAAAGATTGACCTACAGCAAAATTCTCAAAACAATATCAAATTGTAATTCATTTGCCTCAACCTACAGCGTTTAGTTTAGTTTTCTTTGCTTCAAAAAATCCTACTCCATAACTGCTACTCCTCCAGCAGCTTTAATCTTTTCTATCATCTCATTTGCCTCTTCTTTAGTCACTCCTTGTTTGAGCACAACAGGTACTTTTTCAACGAGATCTTTCGCCTCTTTCAAACCCAGGTTGGTAAATGTTCTGACCTCCTTAATCACCTTGATCTTTGCAGCAGCATCAAACTTTTCCAACTTGACGTCAAATGCTGTTTTTTCTGCTTTTTTCTCCTCAGCCTTCGGTCCAGCCGCACCACCTTGTGGAGCCAAGTCCAAGCCTTCAGTTGAAATTGGCTGCAATTTCGGAAGCCTTAGTCTTTCTGCCAAAGTAGGCATAATTTGACGGCGTTCTTCATCAGGCAGTGCCGCTATTCGCTCTGCAAGCTGAACAACTTTCTCTGAGGGAGGAGGTCTGGGGCCATATGGATCATAAAATTGAGGGATTTTGTACTTTTTTGGTTTGGCTTTTGGATCTCTGGGTACAAAATCGGGTTGGAATGCACGAGAATTCCCAAGTGCACATGTGCTGGGCAAATTGTGGCGACGAGGGAGTAATCTGGAAATTACAGCAAACCTCATGTTCTCGTTCAATTAAGATTGCGACTCAGAATCAAAATGCAGGGGAAAGTTTCTCTTCCGACATAGTATTTGCTTCACCCCCTGTCAAATTTCAAAACCACTTTCTTTAACAAATACTTGAGAAGCAACAAGATCATATGGTAAACCACAAGTCATGAGATATATGATAATTCATACAAGTGCAGATGCTCACATCATATCAACATTCTACCCAAATATTTTCATAGGGAAGAGGAGAGTATCATCATGGAGCATCAGAAAATAGCTGCAAATAATAACCCATAAAATATCACGTCTCTTACTTATAATCTAATTAATCAAAATTGTTAAAGTCACAAAGCATAATACCCTATACAACATCCCAAGATGATAAAGGGGGGGGGGTAAAAATTCCCACTTCCAAGTACACATACTTAATAATACATGTCTTGTCCAATTCATTTGGAAGCATGGTGAATTTTTTTAACCATGATCCATCATCTTCATTTAAACCAACCAATGTTCAGATGCCTTTGGATGAGAACCAATGAAATTTAACACTGTAATTTGAATTAAAGGCTGCTTCTTTCAGTGATTGAACAATACCACTGCTGCGAAAAATCTTCAATTTTCAATATACACCCATATGTACTCATTCATTCAGTACCAAGAACCCAAAAATGTGATCTAAATAAAAAACCCTGCTTGAATTCTTTTTACCACAAGGAATTAATGCAAAGACAAATATTGATAAAAGTTCAATAAATGGAGTTAATGGCCACCAAAAAAGAAAGAGTCGAAAAGGGCCAGATAAAAAATTGAAGTTAGCATTGTTATCACAAAAATCACTTGCAGGATAAATTTGTGACTGCATTGGACAGGTATATTTGATATCCCAAAAAAAAGAAGAAGTTACATCTCTAAGCTCTAAATCGCCTTTCATTTTAATTACAGAAACAATTCAAGATTACAAGGGATGGAAACAGGCCAAGCCACGCTTTCCCCTTAACAGGATAGGCTTGTCTTGTAACAAACTGGCTTGAGCTTGGCCTGTGACCTGTTAGAGGCTTTCTTTTCAGCCTAAGCCTGACCTGTACAAAAGCCTAGCCTGGCCTGAAGCCTGTTAAAAAGCCTGTATTTTTTTAAACAACTATAAACAAGCTAATAGGCCTAGACCTTCAAATAGGTCGAAAATAGGCTTCCACATAAAATAGGCCTAAACCTTTAAACAGGCCGAAAACAGGCCATATATGCATAAATAAATTCAAAATTATAATAATCCAATAAAAAATTATCCAAAATACAACACACAATCTAATACAATCTAATTAATTAACAAGATAATACCAAATGCAACGGAACAAGTTTCACTACAATTACAATAATTTTGACCAAATAAAAGTATAGCTATCTGCCGCACATAATCAAATTTTGAATAATTTCTTCTTGTTTGAACACCTTGAAAAGAAGAAATGAAATCTATAATATATTAGCGATGAATCATAGACTAGAAATGAATCATAAAGCATATATTAGCAATTTAGCATATAACAGTTGAATGATTAAAAAAATGCTTCCACCCTCTAGGAAAATGAGTAAGAAATCTGATAAATCAAAAGTTAACAAAAATATCCACGACACGAAAGTTCCTAGTTTGCTGTAGGAAAATTATGATAAAATCTTGATCCATTGGCACAACACAGGCGATTGTAGAATCTATAAACGAGGCACGCCAAAAAGAACAAGAAGAAGAACAATGAAAAATTGTAAAACATAAGCACAGCACAGCGTTGTATGATTAAAATTTTGATAAAATCTGATGCTCTCCATATATATTTTATATATATTCATGGCGGTGACTTCAGATTTTTGCGACTTTTGCCATGAATATATACATGTATGTATGGGAATATAAATATATATGGGATCTTGTGTGTGTGTGTGTGTGTGTATTCATGGCGGTGACTTCTGATTTCAGCGATTTCTGCCATGAATATATATAATCATATTCAGACTTCAAATTTCTGCGATTTCTGTCATGAATAATGAAATCATATCAGCAGTCGACCGCTTTTGTTATTTGAATACGATGGACGAGAGAAAGTAGTGTTCTAGTTATCAAAGTTTAGTTTGTAACAAAAAGCTTACCTATTGATGGCGCACGGGCTAAATGAGGATTGAGAACGGCCGACCGTGCAAGCTCGGAGCTGGAGAGTGAACGACGGTTATACTGTGGCTTGTGAGGTCCGACAGTGCGAGGTCGGAGCTGGAGATGGTGAACGGCACCGACGAGACTTGGAGAATGGAGAACAAAGTCGAGACTGGAGATGGAGAGCTCAAGTGGCGGCCAGATTGAACCGAAGGACAAAACCCAAGGAGTAAGGTCAGAGTAACAATTTTTTTTTTTTGGCAATCTTAAGTAATTGGATTTAAAATTATAAATCGTGCATTATACTCCCTCCGTTCCTTATTATAAGAGACATTTGGTACTTATAGCATGTTCCTATATATAAAAGACACTTAAAAGTTGTCTCTACTTTTTTGTGTTGATTTCCTATTTTACCCATATTTATTGTCTCAAATTCACACACTCTCTCCCTCTCACTTCTCTTTCTTTCAATAATTTAATTGTTCTCTCTTATACTCTCTCTCCTTATTAATGAGGGTATTTTTGGGAAAAAATTATATTTTTTACACATTGATTGTTTTTAACTAATTTTAACTGTTTTTTTTATCAACGTAATTTGGTTATTCGTCTCTTATAATAAGGAACGGAGGGAGTAAGTAATAAGAAAAATGCATTGGTGCAGTGGTAAGATTTATTTTTAGCATAATTGAACATAAATACATAATATTGTAAATTCATAACAGGCTCAAATTGTCTGATAAGTTTTATAGGCTTTTTATAAAGCCTGGCCTATTAGGCAAAATAGACTCTCAAAGAGACATGAGCCTGTGTGTATTTTTAGCAAGCCTGATAGGTTTTATAGGCTTTTTATAGAGTCTGAGCCTGACCTGTTAAGCAAAACAGATTCTTAAATAAGCCTGAGCTTGTGTGTTTTTTAGCAGGCCAAGCTAAAGATCTCTGATAGGCCGCTTGGCCTATTTCTACCCTTACACATGGCATTGTGAATTTTATTTTGGGGAGAATTTCTATTCATGTCTCTTTTTAAATATATATATAGAGAGAGAGAGAGTGTGTGTGTGTGTGTGTGTAAATGTGTGTGTGACAAGCGAAATGTTAGAGCCGGAAAAACGGGCCGAGCCCGTTTAGGCCCTAAAATTATAAGGGCCGGATTTGATATTTTTTTCTTAAAATGAGAAATAAGCTCTGGAGGATTGGTCCTGGAGGGTCGAGGGCTTAAAAGGGTCAGTCCTGGAGGGCCGCGGGCCGGCCCTTTTAAGCCATTTTATAATTTTTTTTATTTTTAAAATTTTTTATATAATATTAATGTTAATAATTTTTTACATTGTTAATAATATTTCAAATATTTAGTTATTATTATCATTTTAAAATTAAATTTAATTTTAGACAATAATTTATCCAATTAAATTTTTAAAAAATGGGTTAATTTATATTTTAATAATGATTTGATTTATATTATATGCGTTGATATTTTTAAACTATATATATATTTGATAATAGAATATTTTTATACTTATATAACTTGTTATTCTATAATTTGAATTAGAAATTCATGAGTTTCAACAACAATGTTTCTCACATTAAAATAAAATAATAGTTAGATTGCAAAATTTAAAAATAAAATTCTTATAAAGAAGAAAAACTTGATATTTTTGTTACGAAAGAAAAGCATGCTTATGAAAAAAAATAATTAATCATAGTGATGATGAAGTTTCAAAAGATTAATGATAGTGTTTATTTATTACACAATTGCATTATAGATAAAACTTTTAGATGTTGTTATCTTGTTAATAAATGTTTTAGATATTCTTAGATATTGATGAATATTTATATATGATGATATTTTATATTTGTGACTTAATTTTATTCATATTTATGTCTTTTATTAATAATTTCATTGGTTTATTTTTATAAAAAAATATGATAAATATAAAAAATAGTATTTTTTTCTTAAATGGGTCAAGAGCCCGCAGGCCGGCCCTGGCCTTGTAGCTTAAGGGCCGGGCCTAGCAAATTGGGATATTTTTAAAATTTCAGCCCTGAAGGGCCGGCCCTGATTCCCAGCTCTATGAAATGTTGTTAAAAAAGGGAAATATTTAGGTTAAAATGACATTGAAGATAAAAAAAAAAAAAGTAAGTTTCAAAGATTTTGTTAAACGATAAATTCTAAATTCAATTTGATTTTAAATTGATTTTTTTATTTTGCACAATATCTTTTTTATAATTTTTTAATAAAGTTAGAAATTATAATATTTACATATTATGCAAATATTATATAACTACTTAAAATTATTATCTTAATCATTAATTTGACATTTTAAGTGTTTATTAGGTGGTGATGTGAGCGTTCGCAAGCTGGGATAAATATTATAGAACACCAGGCAGAGTATATCAAGCATATTTAATTATTAATTTAGCAACCTTTAAAAAAAAAAAAAACTTTGGCACCCTCAGCTCTTTTCTCCCCCAACTTTTTTAGGGCCAGCGAGACCTCAACTTTCTTTGCACCAAGGTTAATGGTAGAAATGGACTGAAATGTGAATAATGGATTAATGGTTAAAAAATAAAACATTTTTTTATATAATCATAAAAAATAAGTTTACAGTGCAGAAAATAGTGGAATGCAGGATTCTCAAGCCATACTTATTTTTCAAACAATTATTATGGATCCATTTGAATACATGGGCTTTCCATCCTAATAAAATACCAAATATTGGACATTCCAACAATGTTTTACACAATGTTCAAAATACCCTTCTTCTATTTTCCAATCTCCATTTTCATTTCCGTGAAAAAGAATCTGTATGAAGATCCTTAAAATTGACAAAATTAGATTGTTGTGCTTGGAAGCCTGATACCAAAGCCCTCACATGCAAATCAAATGAAATAAAGTGGAAAATTCGTTATGTAAAACTAATTATGTCACAACATAATAATTAAAGTCATTTGCTTCCTTGTATGAATTATTTGATTTTATTTATAAGATTTTCATTTCATCATGAAATTTAAATCATCCGAGATACTTTTGAGAGATAAATTAGAAATGGATAAAATAAAATAATGAGTCTCATTTCTACTTATATACAGGACTCTGAATAAAACTCACCTTTTTTTTTCCCCTCAAGATCCTTTAATTCCGTCATAAAACATTTGTGTTCTCATCATTCACAGCTTTCTTGTTCATTGTCAGAGGTATGTTAGTTAGAGTTCTTAGTCAAAAAATTAAAGAAGTTTCTAAAAACAACTTGTGAAGATTCCTATACTATGTATGTGAAAAAGTCCAAGGGCTAATCCCTACCTATGTTATGACTTTTGTTTCCATTCCATGTTATTAAACCAATATTATCTTATATAACTCGTGATTGATGAAGCACTTATGTAAATTTAGACCCATTCCAAATTCTATACTATCTTGAATCTTGCAAAACAAGAACCTGGAAATTTATTATCTTTCTACCCATAACCTCATATGATATATTGATATTATAAATCCTAAGATTCAATTCACTTAGCGCACTAGTTGTCTTGCTTATTAGGTTTTGGCTCTGCTCCATGATATCTGGCTTGTTCTCTCTCCTTGGCTTTAATGCCAAGGTTTTTGTATTTGGTTCGTTTCACCAGAGATTATTTCAGATACCTCTCATACACACCATACCCCTTCAAAACATACAAGAGCATGTAGCTAGATCGCAAGTTTTTTTCAACAGAGAGAATTTTTTTCAACAGAGAGAAATAAAGTTTAGGTTAGTCAGGTTTTAGAATTCATGGAACCATTAGAATTATGGCAACTCCTAGTCTTAACAGAACACTTACAGAAGTATTTACAGAACATCCGATAGAATAACAGAATTTGAGCATGTATGCAAAGTTTTATGTTCCTAATTAATAACAGTTAAGTTTTTTTAGATATGCAGCAGGTAGTACAGTAGAATGAAACCCAGTTTAAATTTGAGTTAAGGCTGAAACCAAATCATTCTGAATTAAGATCAAAGCAATTAATAATCCATCCCTTTGGTTGTATGAAGGTTTACATGTGTGTGTGTATTGTTAATTAGGAACACAAAAGGGGAGTATAATAGTGCTTAGAATGAATACGATCCAAGACAACAACAAAAGCCATCATGAGTTCAGGTTGAAACCCAGGTTGAACCACCAGGTTGAAGACATCATCAGCAAGAAGAACCGTCTTGTTCACTCTCTTCCTAGAAATCCTGGCAGCTATGTGTCCTCTGCTGTTTCTGATGACACAGTTTCTCCTTCTGAAACATCCTTGTACCTTAAAATCTGGTGTGTCATCATAAGCCTTACATCCTTGACCTTGTCTGCCTGATGGTCCCATGAACACCTGAGCTTCGTCATGATTTTGATCCCCTCCTCCATTAAACACCATTGACCCACTTGATCTCATGCTGAATAAAGCTTTTGGCTTTGCCCCACTACTCTTACTATTATTACTGCTTTTATTATCTCTTCTACTGCAATATCCTTCTCCTCTGTAAGCATTCCACTGCATGCTGAATATCTGTCACATAAATACCCATATATTTATTTACCTTCCATTCACTGCATACAGCACTACAAGACATAATCATCAAGTCAAAATCATCTATGATATTCACAAATTATAAACAGCATTTGTCTTATTCCTTGGATTTTGTGAGAAACTCTTGTCAACATACACAAGTCTAAAAAGACTGTCCATCCCATAATACAAGCTTTCATTAGACCTCCAGCCGGTCAGAATCCTCTATAAGCAGCTCTCTCGAGTTAGCTAGTTCTCAATGAAAGCATCTTTGTTATGAACACAAATTCATCAAAAGGAGAATGTCAATAACAAAAGAGTAGTTTATTAGGAGCGAAAGCTCTCTAAACTTGTCACATGTTTTCATCCAAGAGCTATAAACAGCATGTCTCATCTCTTGGATTTCATGAACAAACGTGTGGGATCATCAATATTAGTATTCATTATAAAATTCATAAAAGATCATTCCATCATTCAAAATCACACACATACATATACATATAACAGAATCTATGCCATGGGAAAACATGTGTTTACAAGGTACCTGAGGCTTGAGGGTGAGCAAGGCGTTTCCGGCGCCGTCCATGAGGATGGCGGTGGAGTTGTTTCTGGAATAGTCATCGACTCGGAAAGCGAGCTTTCCATGGTGATCGAAGACGGTGAAGCCATCGGTACCCTGGAAGCTCATGGTGGATCTCTTCCACACAGTGAGAACACAAGGCTGAGTCTTCTCTTTGGACATGGACTCCTGATGCCCTTGACGATGATGATGCTGATGATGGCTTGGATGAATTCTGGACATGGCAGCTCTAGCAGAAGAAGAAGAAGAAGAAGAAGACCGATGATCAGGTTATTGAGAAATGAAAGAGTTGTTGTTTAATTTTGGCATTATAGATTGTGATATCATCAAAGCTTATAAGCGTTTAATTACGCCGAAAGAGGAGTGTGAGGATTATGGAACATAGTGGGAAACATCAAATTCTCAAGTGGGTCCCTACTTTCTGCCACTAATATCGATTTTGCTGTTTATGCGCTGTTCCTTTTCACTATTTTTCTCTTCGTAATTAGTACAATGTCTCTCTTTTAATTACATCCCCATCATTTATATATATATATATATATATATTTTCCGATGTAAGGAAAAAGAGCCATATGTCAAGGGATCAATTCATTTGTTGCATTTTAATTCAGTTTTAGTTTTATTGGTTAGATGCTCATAAAGTAAACTTTTTCTTTACATAATCAGCAGGAGGTTAATTAGCAGAATGTGTTAGTTTCTTCCACAGTAACAAATCAAAATTCGAATCCCTGTTAAGAGAAATACCCACATTTAATGCCGACAATACCTCAAGTAAGATTGTTTCTAATAAAAAGATACCTATACGTAGCCCAAAAAAAAAAAAGGAGGAGGTTTAACTCCTTTGCTTCTGCCTATACTTCATCTCATCTTAAATTAAGCAACTTCAAGAGATGATTAAAAAGACATAAAATAGACGAGATACTTTGTGCATATATGGAGAGGAAGGTCATGGGTTTCAATTAATCTCCCAAGTCTCTCGCTGGGAAAAGATTGCTGGAGAAAGTTTAGCTAACGTCTCTTCTGTAATTTGAAGGATTAATATCTCAATACTACATGACATTGATAATTAGTACAACATAACCTCTCAAAAAAAACTTAAAAGAATATATTTGCACCTTGATTAATAGTTATAATTTTTTAATCTACCATTGGTTATGCTTAATCCTGCACATTAGAGCTACTCAAATCAACTGCGTAAGTGATAAGAGCTCATATGTTTCTTAATATACTCTTCCAATTCTCAATATAAGATTAACTAATTTGAGTAATTTAAGGATGTTAATTAAATTAGTTAATATGATATGTTTTTTTCTAAAACATTTAAGTACCTTCCTTAATTCCTTCTGATCTTTTTTTTACTTGATTATTATTGAGGAAATATCAATATGATTAATTTAAAACAAAAATTGATAAACATATAAAATAAGTCTTATACATATAAGACTAACAACACCAACCACACAATTAGATCCTATGTTGATGATCGGAGGAGTACTAACTTGCCTCAAATTAACCCTGAATGAAGGACAATCCCAACCCCTGTGGGCCAAGTAGCAATCTCTACTTATTATTGTGTTTCCTTAATGCAAACAAAAGTTGATTTATTTTAACTGTGGGGTTCAGGCTCACATAATGAGGTCATTAAGGCCACAATAATGATAGTATTAATTACTTTTCCTCTAATCTCATTATCCAGAAAAGTGAAAACATCATAATTAGACAAGGGGAGCCAAATGTCTCTTTGTTTTCTAACATTAATTGTATATATAATTGAAATGATAATATAATGTGTAAGAAAATCAATTAATCCTTATTTCTTAATAATGTTTTTCCAAGAGGGCCCTGAGAGGTATGATTTTAATCATCATATATCAAATCTGCTTTTTAATTTAATGCAAATTATGTCTGTAATTTTCTGAATAATTTCATTATGGATAATTATTTTGGTGAATTTGAAAAGTTCACGTTACATTAACTGTGATCATCATGATTATGCACAAATCATCAGTATAAAATTTTAATATTATATATAAAAACATACACTATTCACAACCAATAATTACATACTACCTCCGATCCTAATTATAAGACCTTATTCATACAAACAACTCAGACTCATGGAATGAACCAAACCTACTGCCTATTTAATGTATAGAAAATATTTTTATCTCTTTGAAAATAATACATATTCCAATTGACTATTTTGGTCAGTCAATTTTGTTCCTAATTACACGGGTTAATTAATTATCTCTTAAGAATTATTGACCCACTATACCTCAATTTTAAAATTTGTAAATATTTGTCTAATCTTTGACTCTTTGACTGACATTATAACAGACAAGTAGAGATAAATGCTATATAATAAAACTGATATATCATAAATCAAATAATATATGCATAAAGACAGACTTGTGTGTATGTGTTTTTTGGCTAAAAATTTGGATCTACTACATGTGATTGTAATATTGTTTTTTTTTAAAAAAACAATTAAGCCCACCCTAGTTGATAATATTTTTACGTTTTGTGAACGTTATCATCTTTAATTTTAGTGGATATATAAAAGGAGAGACCAACAATTCAATCTCTTCTCTTGTTCTTGTTTGTTTATTTATTTATTTTAAGTTGTCTTCAAGTTGATCCGCTGGATTTAGAATCTAAATACAAACAAAAGAAGAACATATATTTTCTTCTATTAATATTCATGTGACAAAAGATTATTTGGCACTACCTAACTTAAAAAATTTATATATTGAGAAAAATGGAGACTCAAAACCCACTTGCTTCTCTCTCTCTCTCTCTCATGTTTTTTTTTTAATTCTCTTCAAATTATTTATCCGATGGATTTGAAATATAAATGCAGACAAAGTAGCCTGAATTTTTTTTATACAATGTATTCAAAGAAAAGTATTAAAGAAGAAGAAAAAAACAAGTCGAGAAATGTGATGACAAAATATACATAATTCCATATAGAATCACATTATTAATCCTTACGTATCTTTTTTATCTTTAAAATGCATGACTAGAATGGATCTCATCTACCGTAAGACACTTAAAATTTTGTTTTTCTTTATACTTTGAAGTCATGTGAAATTGTGAAAAATTAAAGACAACTAAAAATAAAAGTAGTTGGAGAAGATATCTTATCTATTTGATAAAAAAACAAATAATTATTTATATGACTAAGTTAATTCAAGGATTGTTAGGTCCAACTAGAAATAACTCTTTGAAAACTGTCTTCTATATTCACATGAACTCAAATTAAAGCTCGCATGTTTAAGTAGCCAAAATACATAGAAAACACAATAGCAGCAGTTTGGATCAAAATAGAAGAGATCCCATTCTCATTAAACAAGGTGTTTGATGCAATAATATCTAGTGCTCAATAAATTCTGATCAATTTGAGTATTGTCAGGCTTAAATAATATTAATTCTTTTAAAATATTTTTTTTGCATTCACATAAAATTCAACTTCAGTACACTTATAACTATTTTTAATGAAGTTAACGCGTGGTGATAAAATAGTGATCAAAGTTGCATGTGGAGGGTGAGATATAGGTAGGTTATATACACACACACACATATATATATATGTATATATATGTTATTGTCGTGATATGGAAAATGGGGTATTCAAAGTGGAAACATCTGTCTCGTGACATGAAATAAGAAAATAGCAACAAGTAGTGTTTTGATTTATTAGTGGCACTGTGCCTCAAGTTTTGGTGCAAAACCATCATCCCTTTCTTGTTCTTTCTTCTTTGTCCCCCTCTCATTCCCTTTAACCACTACCTCAATGTGAATGTCTCTTTTCCTCAATTCAAAGATGCTTCCTCCCCCCTCTCTATTTTTCTCTCTCTCTCTCTCTATATATATATATATATCTCATTAATCATAAACCACAAGATTTCTTATTATTCTATTCGATCTTGTAGTGAATTTCTATTCTGTCTTATAATCTAATAATATCACGTATGAATACTTCCTCATAAGTTGAGAGTCGTGAGTTTAATCTCGCTTGTAATTTCAAATCATGATAATGATATTCTTCCCGCTCTTTATTATGAGGCATCTCCACCCACCTCATGAAAATCAAAATATGCTCATATGATATTTATTAAATTTGTTTAATAATGAAGCAAATTTTTAAATTTACCCATATTTTAAATCATGAATGACATTTGACAAATTAAAAAAGAAAAAGGGGGAAAATCACATCAAATTTTGAGTAGGGACCATCTTCAAAAAAAAATGTAATTAATACTACCTCACTTAGTAGCTTATATATAATAAGGATATCACTCGTTTCTTTTTAAAAGTGCATGATAATAACCACTCGAGTATTATATTGTATTGGCTAAATGCAGACTCCATATGCATTGCATGGAATTTGAGAAATAAACTAGACATTGTTTGCAACTCATTAGTGCAATTTTATGTGAATGTTAATTTGTATAAAATATATGTATTCATTGATGTTGTTTTCATATAATATTTTTTGGCGTAATTCAAAGTATTCTCAAGTCACTTTGAACCTGGAACTAATCTCTACTGGGCTAAAAAATTTAAAGTTAAAGTTCTCTCAATAAATACACTTCCCAGAATATGAATTTGTATTCTTATATGCTACTTTTAGTTTTTAATATAAGAGCTGCTTGGAAATTGAATTAGATTCTAAATATAAGACATAAATCCACCTTATATTCTAAATTTGTAATTCATTTTCTAAAGTATCCATATTAATTACACATGTCAAGAAGTTTTCATCTAGGGATAGTTATGATTAAAAGAAGTACTTGAAAAAAAAATACATATTTATTACAAATAATTAACTTAACTAGTTTTCTTAATTTATTCAAATTAATCAAGTATCTTTTTATATTAAAAAGCGGTATTATAATATGGTTTTACGGTTTGTCATGTATCTCAGCAATTTGGCTTTCTGCTGATTGTTTCAACGTACCAAAGCTTCTTGTCTCTCTTCCAACTTCAATTTTCAAATTATATCTCTGCCTCACACAAAATCATCCACTCGCACCACAGCATCCTCTTTATTCTAATTAATTCACAAGTCATTATCTTTATATATGTATATGTATATGTATATGTATATGTATATATGTATTCTAAATATGTTGTACGATTTCCACCAAAAAAAACATTTTTTTATGATTAACTGATTATCATAAATTACCGACCTGTTTTGCACTTTGACCTCAGAAAAAAGGTTTTAAATTGTCCCTTTTTTCTAACTTTTAGATCAAGTGTAAATAATTTATTTTATTTCTTAAAATTTGAAAAGTACAATTTTTAATTTTAAAATTCATATGAATAGTTTTATATCGTTAATCAGTTTGTTAC